CTCATCCGCCTCTCCCCAGATTCGAACCTGCGACCTGTCAGTCTTCAGTCCTGCCAGCACAGGGGTTTAATCCACTGCGCCACCGTGGGCTCCTAGATGAACTATAAATCCCAGCAACTACAACTCCAAAATGACAAAATCAATCCTCCTCCCCAAACTCCACCAGTATTCAAATTTGGGTGTATTGGGTATTTGTGCCAAATTTAGTCCAGGAAATGCATATCAGATATTTGCATTATGATTCATGACAGTAGCAAAATCCCAGTTACGAAGTAGCAACGAAAATAATGTTATGGTTTGGGGTCACCACAACATGAGGAGCTGTATTAAAGGGTCGCGGCATTAGGAAGGTTGAGAAACATCCATTTAACTCTTGCTGCGTTATCATCAAAGTGGCCTCAAAAGACAAGCACTTTTTTCCACCCTTCAAAGTGTGCTACTTTTCTAGACTGAGGTTGCATGCAAGTCTGCTGCTTGCATACGTGGCGTTTGCCGAGTTCCGTGCATTGTTCAGGAGCAACAATGGCCTTGGATGATGATGAAGCAGCATTGGGAACAGCACGCCCCGATCCCATTCGCCATCAAGCCAATTAACACCTTTGGGCTTTGTTATCAACTTTCCGACAGAGGCTCCTTTGGGTTGACATGTTTTGGCAACCTTAAAAGCACAAGAGCTGCAAAAAAAGAAAATGGAAGAGAAGAGGAAATGTCCCCTATGATTCACCATGTGATGGTTGACATTCCAAAGCAAAATCAAAAGGCTTTCCTTTTCAAAACACTCAACCCTTTTGAGCAGCGTTTCTCAACCTGGAGGTCAGGACCCGGGGGGGGGGGGGTCGCAAGGGAGTGTCAAAGGGGTTGCTAAAGACATAGTATTTTCTGTTGGTCATGGGGGTTCTGTGTGGAAAGTTTGACGCAATTCTATCATTGTTGTTGTTGTTGTTGTTCATTCGTTCAGTCGTCTCCGACTCTTCGTGACCTCATGGACCAGCCCACGCCAGAGCTCCCTGTCAGCCGTTACCACCCCCAGCTCCCTCAAGGTCAGTCCAGTCACTTCAAGGATGCCATCCATCCATCTTGCCCTTGGTCGGCCCCTCTTCCTTTTGCCTTCACTTTCCCCAGCATAATTGTCTTCTCTAGGCTTTCCTGTCTCCTCATGATGTGGCCAAAGTACTTCAACTTTGTCTCTAGTATCTTTCCTCCAGTGAGCAGTCGGGCTTTATTTCCTGGAGGATGGACTGGTTGGATCTTCTCGCAGTCCAAGGCACTCTCAGAACTTTCCTCCAACACCACAGCTCAAAAGCCTCTCTCTTCCTTCGCTCAGCCTTCCCTAAGGTCCAGCTCTCACATCCGTAGGTCACTACAGGGAGTACCATGGCTTTGACTAGGCAATGGATCTTTGTTGCCAGTCTGATGTCTCTACTCTTTACTATTTTATCGAGATTGGACATTGCTCTCCTCCCAAGAAGGAAGCGTCTTCTGATTTCCTGGCCACGGTCTGCATCTGCAGTAATCTTTGCACCTAGAAATACAAAGTCTGTCACGGCCTCCACATCTTCTCCCTCTATTTTCCAGTTGTCAATCATTCTTGTTGCCATAATCTTGGTTTTTTTTATGTTTAACTGCAACCCAGCTTTTGCGCTTTCTTCTTTCACCTTGATTAGAAGGCTCCTTAGCTCCTCCTTGCTTTCTGCCATCAGAGTGGTGTAATCTGCATATCTAAGGTTGTTAATGTTTCTTCCTTCAATTTTCACCCCGGCCTTGCATTCATCAAGCCCCGCACATCGCATGATGTGTTCTGCATACAAGTTAAAAAGGTTGGGTGAGAGTATGCAGCCTTGCCGTACGCCTTTCCCAATCTTGAACCAGTCTGTTGTTCCGTGGTCAGTTCTTACTGTTGCTACTTGGTCCTTGTACAGATTCCTCAGGAGAGAGACAAGGTGGCTTGGGATGCCCATCCCACTAAGAACTTGCCACAGTTTATTATGATCCACACAGTCAAAGGCTTTAGAATAGTCAATGAAGCAGAAGTAGATGTTTTTCTGAAACTCCCTGCCTTTCTCCATTCTCCAGCGGATATTGGCAATTTGGTCTCTCGTTCCTCTACCTTTTCTAAACCCAGCTTGAACATCTGGCAACTCTCGCTCCATGTATTGCTGGAGTCTTCCTTGCAGGATCTTGAGCATGACCTTACTGGCATGAGAAATAAGGGCCACTGTACGGAAGTTGGAGCAGTCTTTCGCATTCTATTCTTGGTGGGGTTCAAATTCTATCATTGGTGGGGTTCAAAGAATGCTCTTTGATTGTAGGTGAATCAAATCATTGTTTGAGTCCACAGTGCTCTCTGGATGTAGGTGAACTACAACTCCAAAACTCAAGGTCTTTGGCCACCAGACCCTTCCTGTATTTCCGATTGGTTATGGGAGTTCTTTGTGTCAAGTTTTGTTCAATTCCATCATTGATGAAGTTCAGAATGCTCTTTGATTGAAGGTGAAATATAAATCCCTGCAACTACAACTCCCAAATGTCAAGGTCTATTATCTCCAAACTCCACCAGTGGGCATATTGAGCATCCATGCCAAGTTTGGTCCAGATCCATCATTGTTTGAGTCCACAGTGCTCTCTGGATGTAGGTGAACTACAACTCCAAGAGTAAAGGTTAATACCCCCAAACCCTTCCAGTATTTTCTCTTTGTCATGGGAGTTTTGTGTTGCAAGTTTGGTTCAATTCTATCTTTGGTGGAGTTCAAAATGCTCTTTGATTGTAGATCAGTGGTTCTCAACCTGGCGTCCCCAGATGTTTTTGGCCTACAACTCCCAGAAATCCCAGCCAGTTTACCAGCTGTTAGGATTTCTGGGAGTTGAAGGCCAAAAACATCTGGGGACCCCAGGTTGAGAACCACTGTTGTAGATGAACTATAAATCCCAGAAACTACATCTCCCAAGTGTCAAGGTCTATTTCTCACAAACTCCACCAGTGTTTACATTTTGGCATATTGAGTATTCATGCTAGTTTGGTCCATCCATCATTGTTTGAGTCCACGGTGCTCTCTGGATGTAGGTGAGCTATAACTCCAAGACTCAAGGTTAATATCCACCAAACCCTTCCAGTATTTTCTCTTGGTCATGGGAGTTCTGTGTGGGAAGTTTGGTTCAATTCCATCATTGGTGGAATTCAAAATGCTCTTTGATTGTAGGTGAACTATAAATCCCAGCAACTACAACTCCCAAATGACAGTCACCACCTCCTCCACCACTATACAAATGTGGGTGTATGGGGTATTGTGCCAAATTTGGTCCAGTGAATGAAAATACATCCTGCAGATCAGATATTTACATTACGATTCATAACAGTAGCAAAATAACAGTTATGAAGTAGTAATGAAAATAATTTTATGGTTAGGGTCACCACAACATGAGGGACTGTATTACGGGGTCGCAGCATTAAGAAGGTTGAGAAACACTGCTTTTGAGGATCTGTTTGAGGGATTGCTTAGCTTGGCTCTCCCACGTCCTGTGTTTTTTGGGGCAAGACCCATAAGCACCCTCGCTAAATGAAAGGTCCCCTTTTCACTCACCTGGCCAGCAAGGCCATTGGAAAGGTCAGAGAGCACAACCTTAGTTGCCTCTTTGCATTTTTCCCTAAATGCCTTCTCTGCTCGAGAGAAATAGGAGCTCGGGGAATAAAGGAAAGGTGACGAAACACAAAAGCTCATAAACATATAAACACAGCTCTTTGGAGATTAGAGAAACTGAGCACAAAAATCTTGGTGGAAAATGTCAAGTTCCAAGACTTTCAACATTGTTGATTCACCGCTCAGGATGGGAAAAACCATAACATTATTTCCGTTGCTACGTCATAACTGTAATTTTCTTACTGTTATGAATCGTAATGTAAATTATCTAATATGCAGGATGGATTTTCATTCACTGGACCAAATTTGGCACAAATACCCGATATGCCCAAATTTAAATACTGTTAGGGCTGGGGGTGATTTCATCATTTCAGAGTTGACTTGCTGGGATTTATAGTTCATTTACAATCAAAGAACATCCTGAACTCTACCAACGATGGAATTGAACCAAACTTGGCACACAGAACCCATATGACCAACAGAAAATACTGGAAAGGTTTGGTGGGCACTGATCTTGAGTTTTGGAATTCTAGTCCACCGACATCCAGAGAGCACTGTGGACTCAAAGAATGATAGATCTGGACCAAACTTGGTACGAATACTCAATATGCCCAAATGTGAACACTGGTGGAGTTTGGGGAAAATAGACTTTGACATTTGGGAGTTGTTGTTGCTGGGATTGATAGTTCACCTACAATCAAAGAAGGGCCAGGGCTTCCCATTTCTCAGTATCTATGCCAGAGATTTTAAGGTTGGCTTTAAGCCCATCTTTAAATCTCTTTTCCTGCCCGTCGACATTCCGTTTTCCGTTCTTGAGTTCAGAGTAGAGCAGCTGCTTTGGGAGACGGTGGTTGGGCATCCGGTCCAGCGGAGTTGATGGCGGAGGACCATCGCTTCAATGCTGGTGGTCTTTGCTTCTTCCAGCACGCTGACGTTTGTCCGCCTTGTCTTCCCAAGAGATTTGCAGGATTTTCCGGAGGCAGCACTGATGGAATCGTTCCAGGAGTTGCATGTGACGTCTGTAGACAGTCCACGTTTCGCAGGCGTATAGCAGGGTTGGGAGGACAATAGCTTTATAAACAAGCACCTTGGTCTCCCTACGAATGTCCCAGTCCTCAAACATCCACAAATGGAAAGGTGCATCAAGAGGAGAACAGTGCATGAGATCAGGAATAGTGTGCAAGGTCAATTCTCTTGGGGGATTTTTTTTCCCCAAAGGGTTACCTCCTAGAGCTCTATCTGCTTTAGCTTGAGGCAAGAAATGTCTTCTCCCAAAATCTGAGTTTCTCATAAAAGTACGAAAAGGTCACAAATTCATCACAAAATTCTCAGAATGGATACATGCGAAAATGAAACCAGGAGCCATTTCTTTAAAGATGATAAAGCTTGTATTTCAACATAAACGACATCTTAAATTATGAACATGACCTTTCAAGTAAAAAAAAAGAAAGCCATCGATAGCCTGAAATGTGGAAGTGACTGCAGACATGTCATCGTTCCAGTGCGCCTCAGTCTTTCCCAATTCTTCATTACCCAAAATGCCCGACTCTCTTCTGACAGATCAAAAAATGAAACACATACATACAGCACACACAATCTCCGCCACAGTACTACCCAGGCACACCAATGAACACTCTGGCCAAGGCAGATCGTTCAAAGTCGTTGGTGCATTTTGCAAAGCTTTGTCTATTGCAGTATTGCAAGGATGGTGCACGCATCACATTTTAGCAAAGTTGCAGCCTCAGTTTCTCAGGTGAAGACTGCAGGTCTCTTTGCAGGCCGAGGCTCAGCTTTGCCACTCTAAGTCAGCTTCTTAGGAAATCAATTTACATCTTGTAGTGAGCAAGGATTTTAGACTGGCTCTGTCCCATACAGGATTAGTTAGACTTCTTTAACACCCTTTGCCCTAACTGAAGCAGCAACATAGGATTTGACGGAAGCGTTGCAACACAGTTAATTGCATATACAAGTTAAAGGCTCTTGAGTATTCAATTAAGATCTCTGTCAGGATCACTATATCAGCCTGGGACAGACTGCTTAAAGAAGGGAAGTGGGGGGAGGGAGGTTGGGTATAGTTGGGGAAGGTAGTGTAGGTAAGACATCTGTTTTGTGTGGGGAATTGAAACTGCAGTTAACAGTTTGGGGCACAGTGTTTGGCCACTAGGGGGCAGATGGGAGTTAGGGCTGATATATGAGTGAGGAAGCTTTAGAACTGTCTTTTTCGGATTGACCTGTCTTTAGAACTGTCTTTTTCGGATTGAACTGTCTTTAGAACTGTCTTTTTTGGATTGACCTGCCTTTAGAACTGTCTTTTTTGGATTTAACTGTCTTTAGAACTGTCTTTTTCGGATTTAACTGTCTTTAGAACTGTCTTTTTTGGATTGACCTGCCTTTAGAACTGTCTTTTTAGAATTGAACTGTCTGTAGAACTCTCTTTTTAGGATTGACCTGTCTTTAGAACTGTCTTTTTAGGATTGACCTGCCTTTAGAACTGTCTTTTTCGGATTGAACTGTCTTTAGAACTCTTTTTCGGATTGACCTGTCTTTAGAACTGTCTTTTTTGGATTGACCTGTCTTTAGAACTGTCTTTTTAGGATTGAACTGTCTCTAGGACAGTCTTTTTAGGATTGACCTGTCTTTAGAACTGTCTTTTTAGGATTGACCTGCCTTTAGAACTGTCTTTTTAGGATTGAACTGTCTCTAGGACAGTCTTTTTAGGATTGACCTGTCTTTAGAACTGTCTTTTTAGGATTGACCTGCCTTTAGAACTGTCTTTTTAGGATTGAACTGTCTCTAGGACAGTCTTTTTAGGATTGACCTGTCTTTAGAACTGTCTTTTTAGGATTGACCTGCCTTTAGAACTGTCTTTTTCGGATTTAACTGTCTTTAGAACTGTCTTTTTCGGATTTAACTGTCTTTAGAACTGTCTTTTTCGGATTGACCTGTCTTTAGAACTGTCTTTTTAGGATTGAACTGTCCTTCTAGGAAAGTCTTTTTAGGATTGGCCTGTCTTTAGAACTGTCTTTTTAGGATTGAACTGTCTCTAGGAAAGTCTTTTTAGGATTGGCCTGTCTTTAGAACTGTCTTTTTAGGATTGACCTGTCTTTAGAACTGTCTTTTTAGGATTGAACTGTCTCTAGGACAGTCTTTTTAGGATTGACCTGTCTTTAGAACTGTCTTTTTAGGATTGACCTGTCTTTAGAACTGTCTTTTTAGGATTGAACTGTCTCTAGGACAGTCTTTTTAGGATTGACCTGTCTTTAGAACTGTCTTTTTAGGATTGACCTGCCTTTAGAACTGTCTTTTTAGGATTGAACTGTCTCTAGGACAGTCTTTTTAGGATTGACCTGTCTTTAGAACTGTCTTTTTTGGATTGACCTGTCTTTAGAACTGTCTTTTTAGGATTGAACTGTCTCTAGGACAGTCTTTTTCGGATTGACCTGTCTTTAGAACTGTCTTTTTTGGATTGACCTGTCTTTAGAACTGTCTTTTTAGGATTGAACTGTCCTTAGAACTGTCTTTTTAGGATTGAACTGTCTTTAGAACTGTCTTTTTAGGATTGACCTGCCTTTAGAACTGTCTTTTTAGGATTGAACTGTCTCTAGGACAGTCTTTTTAGGATTGACCTGTCTTTAGAACTGTCTTTTTTGGATTGACCTGTCTTTAGAACTGTCTTTTTAGGATTGAACTGTCTCTAGGACAGTCTTTTTAGGATTGACCTGCCTTTAGAACTGTCTTTTTCGGATTGAACTGTCTTTAGAACTCTTTTTAGGATTGACCTGTCTTTAGAACTGTCTTTTTTGGATTGACCTGTCTTTAGAACTGTCTTTTTAGGATTGAACTGTCTCTAGGACAGTCTTTTTAGGATTGACCTGTCTTTAGAACTGTCTTTTTAGGATTGACCTGCCTTTAGAACTGTCTTTTTCGGATTTAACTGTCTTTAGAACTGTCTTTTTCGGATTTAACTGTCTTTAGAACTGTCTTTTTCGGATTGAACTGTCTTTAGAACTCTTTTTCGGATTGACCTGTCTTTAGAACTGTCTTTTTTGGATTGACCTGTCTTTAGAACTGTCTTTTTAGGATTGAACTGTCTCTAGGACAGTCTTTTTAGGATTGACCTGTCTTTAGAACTGTCTTTTTAGGATTGACCTGCCTTTAGAACTGTCTTTTTAGGATTGAACTGTCTCTAGGACAGTCTTTTTAGGATTGACCTGTCTTTAGAACTGTCTTTTTTGGATTGACCTGTCTTTAGAACTGTCTTTTTAGGATTGAACTGTCTCTAGGACAGTCTTTTTAGGATTGACCTGTCTTTAGAACTGTCTTTTTAGGATTGACCTGTCTTTAGAACTGTCTTTTTCGGATTGACCTGTCTTTAGAACTGTCTTTTTCGGATTGACCTGTCTTTAGAACTGTCTTTTTAGGATTGAACTGTCCTTAGAACTGTCTTTTTAGGATTGAACTGTCTCTAGGACAGTCTTTTTAGGATTGACCTGTCTTTAGAACTGTCTTTTTAGGATTGACATGCCTTTACAACTGTCTTTTTAGGATTGAACTGTCTTTTTAGAATTGCGAAAAGAAGGAATAAACCTCTTGTCTCCAGCTTTTTATTGTTGTAAGCTTGATTTTAACTCCAAGATCTTTCAGAGTCTGACAATTTCCCTGTTTTGGAGGTGGGCTGAAATTCTCTTCTCTCCTTCACTGCATCCTCTCCTTTCTATATCTCTGGATAATTTCTCACCACATATGCATCAATAAACAGCCAGTTGAGTTCCCCTACTAGATGGCCCCTGACCACCTACTCTGCTGGATTCTCTCTTGCACAAATATTCCCCGACAGAATGAACAGACCTGCATCTTCATTTGCACTCTTCCAGCTTTTTTGACTTCCATCCCAACCTGCTAAGTCAGGAGGTAGCAACTCCCCAACAGTATCTTCTTAACACATTGTTCTTTGTGTTATGTGCAATTATTCAATAATTTTATGCAGCCTCTGTTTGAAATCTCCTATTGTAAAATGTTTCCAGCAACTGCTTTATGTCGTTCTCAAACGAGCACTCCCTTGTGCAAATCAGCAAGAGATAGGTTCTTATAAGAGATGTGTGCCTAAGAATTAGTGTCCCAGCTCCCCAATTTCCTCCTCTTTTCTCGTGTTTTTTGGACTGTGCCTTTGAGCTTGGATGCTTTTGAGCAAAGGCTGGCCTATTGTTTTTTCTAAGCTGCTCCAGGAGTGTTGCCGAAAGCTTTCATGGCCGGAATCACTGAGGTTGCTGTGAGTTTTCTGGGCTGTATAGCCATGTTCCAGAAGCATGCTCTCCTGACGTTTCACCCACATCTATGGCAGGCATCCTCAGAAGTTGTGAAGTCTGTTGGAAACGAGGCAAGTGGAATGCCCAGAGAGAGAGAAAGAACTCTTGTCCATTTGAGGCAAGTGTGAATGTTGCAATTGGCCACCTTGATGAGCACTGAATAGCCTTGCCACTTCAAAGCTTGGTTTCTGTGTTCTCAAATAATATTCCCACGCAGGAAGCAGCCAAGCTTTGAAGCTGCAAGGTCATTAAATGCTAATCATATATTTATTCAGGGTGGGAGAAAGAACTCTTGTCCATTTGAGGCAAGTGTGAATGTTACAATTGGCCACTTTGATTAGCATTTAATGGCCTTGCAGCCATTAATGGCAATGAGCCAGGTTTTGAAGCTGCAAGGCCATTCAATGCTAATCAAGGTGGCCAATTGCGACAATCACACTTGCCTCAAACAGACAAGAGTTCTTTCTCCCACCCTTGACATTATTCCACTTGCTTAGTTTCCAGCACACCTCACAACCTCTGAAGATGCCTGCCATAGATGTGGGTGAAACGTCAGGAGGGTATGCTTCTGGAACATGGCCACACAGTCCTGAAAACTCACAGCAACCCACTGCTCCAGGAGTGTTTTCTGATGCTAAATATATAAAATGGAAGAGTTTAAATAAATAAAATGGAGTAAATAGTCACAGCCTGTGTGCTGTTCATACTGGAAAGACAGACATGAAAGGGTACTTTACGAATTACTAGAATGGCTCAGTTGCACATCATTCAAAAGTGGGCCTTAGTTGGGGGCTCTAAGGCAAGGATGGGAAGTCTTTTAGGACAGTCTTTTTAGGATTGACCTGTCTTTAGAACTGTCTTTTTAGGATTGAACTGTCTCTAGGAAAGTCTTTTTAGGATTGGCCTGTCTTTAGAACTGTCTTTTTAGGATTGAACTGTCTCTAGGAAAGTCTTTTTAGGATTGGCCTGTCTTTAGAACTGTCTTTTTAGAGCTATCACTACTGACCGAGAGGTCATGAGTTCAAAGCCAGCCCCGGTTGGAGTGAACTTTCAGTCATTAGTCTAGCTTGTTGTCGACTTATGCAGCCCGAAAGACAGTTGCATCTGTTAAGTAGGAGATTTAGGTACTGCTTACATGGGGAGGCTAATTTAACTAATTTATGATGCCATAAAAACCTTCCAGCAGCATGCAGAAGAATGAGGAAGTACTCAAAGGACTTGCTGTTACAATGGATGGTGAAGTGGCAGCTCCCCCTGTGGCCAAAATCCAGCATATCCTCATGAAGCCGGAAAAAGCTTGGGCACAACTGGAATGTTAAGTTGCCTCTGCGTCAGTCTATATAAGAGGGTTGAATGAAAAGTAATGCCTCCACCTTCGTAACTCCCCAACAGATGGCAGTACTGGTATGTGGCAGGTACTGGCTTGTTCAGTAGACTCTCCTCTACAGTTCCATTTGGAGGGCTGAATGGAAAGTAACTCCTCAACAGATGGCAGTACTGGCATGCGGCAGGTACTGGCTTGTTCAGTAGACTCTCCTCTACAGTTCCATTTTGGTGGGAAGCCTTAGCATTGAATGGTTGTGCTGTTAAAGTGCAAAGTATGGAACCCTGCGCAGGCGGTCAGTCAATGCGACTTAAGCAACGTGCAGCCATTGAATTATTGACAGCAGAAGGTGTCACCTCAACATTTTAAAACCTTTTTGCCCAACGACGCACAGTACTCACATCAACACAGTCACCATGGACAGCTTGCATTCTCTGATGAATCTCCTTTGGGGTGACACCTTCTGCTGTCAAGAATTCAATGACTGCACGTTGCTTAAGTCGCATTGACCGATTGTCTGTGCAGGGTTCCATACTTTGCACTTTAACGACACAACCGTTCAATGCTAAGGCTTCCTATCAAAATGGAACTGTAGAGGAGAGTCTACTGAACAAGCCAGTACCTGCCACATACCAGTACTGCCATCGGTTGAGGAGTTACGAAGGTGGAGGCATTACTTTTATTTAACCCTCATACTTCGCACTTTAACAACACAACCATTCAATGCTAAGGCTTCTTGTCAAAATGGAACTCTAGAGGAGAGTCTACTCAACAAGCCAGTACCTGCTGCATACCAGTACTGCTATCGGTTGAGGAGTTACGATGGAGGAGGCATTATTTTTATTTAACCCTTATACTTTGCACTTTAACAACACAACCGTTCAATGCTAAGGCTTCTTGTCAAACTGGAACTGTAGAGGAGAGTCTACTGAACAAGCCAGTACCTGCTGCATACCAGTACTGCCATCGGTTGAGGAGTTACGAAGGTGGAGGCATTACTTTTCATTCAACCCTCGTGTGTTGTATGTCTAACTGGCACTGAATGTTTGCCATGTATATGTGCATTGTGATCCACCCTGAGTGCCCTGCGGGGCGAGAAGGGCGGAATATAAATACTGTAAATAAATAATAATAATATCCATAGTGCTGCGTTTCCCATCTTTGCCTTAGGAGCCAATTACATCCACGAGAAAGCCCAGATGTGGACTTGCCACACTGTGAGAGAACAATCACATCATCAGTTAATAAGTTTGCTACTTTCCCCTTTACGCATTTACCGGCATCAAGTCTCCAACGTCCCAGCCTTTCCGTTTCTGCCCCCCCCCCCCCTTTCTCAAAGTGCATGTACTTTTGTGATAACAATGATAAAATAATATTGGCTGATGTTTCCCTCAATCCACGTTTGACCCTGCTTTTTGAACTCGGTCCTCCGGAGCGGACGTTTCTCCTTTTGATTCCTGATTGACAGCCAGACGCCATTCAGACAGCGGTTTTTTAGGGGTGCGAGAAGAACCCTGAGGCAAAACAATGGCTTTTCTTGAGCAAGTCTTAGGCTTCGTGCTCAGCCCCTTATAAGACCCCTGGGATCTTCTGTGACGGGAGGCCTTCCTCGATCCAGAGGGAGGGAGAGGAGCCACTGTGCAACATTCGTCGGTGAATCCGCCGCAAGCGCAGCAGGTAGAGCAGGATGGAGAGCAGCACAACGAAGAAGCAGGCAAAGAAAAGGTAATGGTTGTAAACAAAGGAGAAGCTGCGCCAGTGGGAGTGACTGCCCCGGAAGTTCTCTTGCTGGATATCTCTGGAGAGATAGATAGATAGATAGAGATGAAAACAACTCTTTAACCATTCATAACTATTAACAAACTTAATTCAAGGTTGAGTCTCCCTCAACCAAAAGGCTGCTTACCAGAAGTGTTCCACAATTTCAGATTTTGGTATACTTGTACCGGTATACAGGCAGAGGGTTAAAGTGCTGACACACACACACACACACACACACACACACAACATTTATATGCCGCCCTTCTCATCCCAAAGGGGACTCAGAGTGGCTTACAACAGTGTTTCTCAATCTGGGGGTCAGGACCCCTGGAGGGGTCTCCAAAGACCATCAGAAAACACAGTATTTTCTGTTGGTCATGGGGGTTCTGTGTGAGACGTTCGGTCCAATTCTATCATTGGTGAGATTCAGAAAGCTCTTTGATCGTAGGTGAACTATAAATCCCAGCAATTATAACTCCCAAATGTCAAGGCCTGTTTCCCTCAAACTCCACCAGTGTTCACATTTGGGCATATTGAGTATTCGTGCCAAGTTTGATACAGATCCATCATTGTTTGAGTCCATAGTGTTCTCTGGATGTAGGTGAACTACAACTCCCAAACTCAAGGTCAATGTTCACCAAACCCTTTCAGTATTTTCTGTTGATCATGGGAGTTCTGTGTGCCAAGTTTGTTTCAATTCCATCGTTGGTGGAGTTCAGAATGTTCTTTGATTGTAGGTTAACTATAAATCCCAGCAACTATATCTACCAAATGACAATATCAAAACCCTCCCAAGCCCACCAGTATTCAAATATGGGTGTATAGAGTATTGTTCCAAATTTGGTTCATGAATGTAAATACATCCTGCATACCAGACGTTTACATTACGATCTATAACAGTAGCAAAACTACAGTTGTGAAATAGCGACAAAAATAATTTTATGATTGGGGGTCACCACAACATGAGGAACTGTATTAAGGGGTCGCGGCATTGGGAAGGTTGAGAACCACTGGCTTACAAGATATATATATATATACATACAATATATTATATTATTAGCATAGTAAAATATCAGTATTATATATTACTATATTGTATTACACCATTATACTGTAATATTATTAGTAATATTACATGTAATATAAAATATATAATCATAATATTGCATTATTATTATGAGTATTATATTGTACTACATTATAATATTATAAATATATGTATATACAATATATTACATTACATTATTAGCATAGCATAGGAGACAAGATGGAACTGCCTTCTGGCCCCCTCTCTTCACTCTTGCCCAGAACAGAAGTTGGTGCTGGGGGGAGGGGTCCCCAACTGATGACATATGCAGGAGACAAGATGGAACCGTCCCCTGACCCCCTCTTTTTCACTGAACTTGCTGACCAAAAGGTCATAGGTTTGAATCCAGGGAGTGGCGTGAGCTCCCACTGTTAGCCCCAGCTCCTGTCAACCTAGCAGTTTGAAAACATCCAAATGTGAGTAGATCAATAGGTACTGCCTTGGAAGGAAGGTAACAGCGCTCCATGCAGTCATGATGGCCACATGACCTTGGAGGTGTCTACAGACAACGCCGGCTCTTTGGCTTAGAAATGGAGATGAGCACCACCCCCAGAGTCATACACAACTGGACTTAGTGTCAGGGGGAAATCTTTACCTGTACTGGCATATATGAACATAATAAGATTATTTTGGAGATGAAACCCAAGCCTATATGCCCCATAAACATAGCCTGGAATGAATTACATACAGTATTTTGCAATAATTTGAAGCAAGAAACAAAGTTTGTGTATCCTGAACCATCAGGGCCAGGCTTTAGTACAGCAGGTTAACCGCCAGTTGCAGTAAATCTTGTCAACCAGTGGGTCTGTAGATAGCTTGTAGGTTGTGTTTCTTTATCAGCTTCCTTATGTGGTCAGTGGTTCCCTTGATGTATGGTAAGAACACTTTTCCTCTGGGTGGGTCTTTGTCTTGACTCTCGTGGCTTCTTCTCCGTCTTGCAGCTCTTCTGATGTCTGAGGTGGAGTCTCCATTGGCCTGGAGAGCCCAGTTGAGGTGGTTCAGTTCATCTTGGAGGATGAACTGGGTTCGCAGATTCTTTTTGCGAAATCTGCGGGGGCTTTAATGGTGCTTCTTTTTTGACTTGGTGATGGCTGGAGTTTTTATGTAGGTATCTATCTGTGTGTGTGGGTTTTCTGTAGACGGTGTGACCCAATTGTTGATCTGGTTTGCGGATGACTAGGACATCTAGAAAAGGCAGTCTTCCTTCATTTTCTTTTCCATAGTGAACTGGATTTTTGGGTGGATGCTGTTAAGACGGTCCAGGAACCTGTTGAGTTCTTCTTCTCTGTGGCTCCAAATGGTGAAAGTGTCATCCACATATCTGAACCATGTAGTGGGCTTTTTTGTTGCTGTTTCCAGGGCTTGTTTTTCAAAGTGTTCCAAGTAGAAATTTTCTATGACTGGGCTGAGAGGATGCCCCATGGCTCCTCCATCTTTCTGATCATAGAATTCATTGTCCCACTGGAAGTAGCTTGTGGTGAGGCAATGATGAAACAGGGCTGTGATGTCTTCTGGGAAATTCTGGTTGATTAGCGTGATGGTGTTTGCTATTTTGTTGGTGTTTAATATGTTTTCTCCTGACGTTAAGTCCAGTTGTGTCTAACTCTGCGGGTTGGTGCTCATCTCCATTTCTAAGTCGAAGAGCCAGCGTTGTCCGTAGACACCTCCAAGGTCATGTGGCCGGCATGATTGCATGGAGTGTCCTTACCTTCCCGCCAGAGCGGTACCTATTCATCTACTCACATTTGCATGTTTTTGAACTGCTAGATAGGCAGAAGCTGGGGCTAAAAGCAGGAGTCCTCGCCGCTCCCCTGATTCGAACCTGTGACCTTTCAATCAGCAAGTTCAGCAGCTCAGCGGTTTAACCCACTGGCAGATTCATTTAATATGTTGTATTTATATATATATATATTTGTATTGCAATGTAGCATTGAAATGGCCAATCTGTAAGCCCTCTCGGGTTGAGAAGAGCAGGATATAAATATGGGAAATAAATAAACAAATAAATGGGAAATAAGAAAGGCCAAGCCATACCTCAAAGGCAAAAATCGTGTCCGGTAGAGGATGGCCCCCAGCGTCCACTGCACCTCTTTATCATAGACCTGCAATGCGGTTTTCAAGTTTCCGTAATTTATGGGGAAAGAGAAGCCGTTGTGAAACACCTCATACATCCAGGCCGACTTAAAGCACTGATACCTGGAGAGAATGAACACAAAGGAGAGTCATCCTAATTGTGCCGTTAATTGAACCGTGGCAACAATCAAAGAGATAAAAGGACACAGTTCAAAAGCCACTAAGAATACACGAAATTCCTTTTGATTTAAGCCCTTAATTGCATATTCAAGACTTTGCTGTTGTTCCTGGGATTTACGTAAATACTCATGGATTAAGTTCAAATAGATCAGGTGCTTATTTGGAATCATTAAGATCTGTTATGACAAAGAATGCCTTTTGTACCAGCAGGTGTGACAAACAAAACAGAGATAATGTGGAATGGAAACGTAAATCTTTATTGCGGCAATTGGATCTTTTCATGTTAATTTTCCTGTAAGCAACACACAATGTTATTGAGCTCGTAGGAATAGCTCTACTATGATGGTTGTAGATGTCAGATCCATATCACCTGCCATAATAATTAATAATGATAATAATAATAATAATAATAATAATTATTATTATTATTACTACCTCACTACCTCTGAGGATCTACAAGCCTCTCTCAAC